AGAGAGAGAGAGAGAGAGAGAGAGAGAGAGAGAGAGAGAGAGAGAGAGTTAAATGTAAATTACATTTAACCATACTCAACTAATATTTTTCAATTTTTTTGAAAAAGGAGTTAAAAGCATCAGCATTTTTAATCTCTACTCAGTCTCGTATATCTTTATACTTTCTCTCTTAAAAAAGCCTAAAGCTTTTAAGAAAGCCCAGGACTTAAGAGAGTTCTAAGATGTCCCAGAAAAATTTCTTCATGCTGATCAATACTGTTCTAAGAACGTCAGTTAGTAAATTAACCTGTAGGATATTTACTGAGACACTCTGCGCGAGGAAAACACGGTGAACCTCTCGTGAACTCTTGCTAACCCCCACTTTAAAATAATTTCCGTCATTTCGGAAAATTTCCGTATAATAATCTAGAAGCGCGCATAGCACCGTCCCGTTCACCGAATTAAAGGCAAATGACGCGACTACATAAGCGAGCGAAGTGGTGGGCTGCGATGTAGCTTGTTTACTGCAATTAATAATTGTAATTTAACACCAATTCTGCGGCAGTACATGCTGCAACGGGTTATACCCGGTCTTGGCGTTGGCGCCTGGCGACCGACGCGTTCGTGCGCGCGGAACGCTCATGATGCTTTAAACCGAGCGAATACATTATGACCCGCGTCCACGTATAATGGAACGGAGAAAATGTGAGGGGCGGAGAAGATGCTGTTGTGAGCTTCTACCGCTATTGCCGTTGGTGCAACATTAAGCGCAAAGTATTGCGGAAAAATATCATTTTCTCTAACGCAAAGAGTATTAAAATGTTACATTCAGCATTAACAATGGCATTCAAATAGGAAGTAATTTTAAAATTACCACAATACAAATGGGTAAATTTAGTAACATGAGTATCAATTTTTATGACTGCGGAATTTATTCTGTTATACATATCAGTTCGTACATACATTAAAAAGTAAGTGCGTAACTGTGTAACGCTATTATTATTTTCGCTACTTTTTTTAACAATCGTGACTTTTTTCTATCTGTAATGGTAACAATAATGCTAATTGCATTTTTAAGATAACGAATTCAATCGTTACTTTTATTGTTACTTTCAATCCCTTATTATCTTTATAATTATTCAATAGATCGCTTTAATAAAAATTTTTATAATAGAAATTTAAATATCAAAAAACGTTTTGTACTTTAAATCTTAAGCTGTGTTCTGATAGTCACTGTCAATACTGAAAGTCTGTAATATATATGTAACGTTAATTGTAAATTTTTATATTGACAGTAAATATTAGAATGCACTATTCTAAATAACGACATTAATGTTTAAAAATAACGTTTAATAAAAATTTTTAATAAAATCTGCATTTGTAAATTATCGAAGTTTCTAAAGATAAGTATATATTAAAAAATAAAAACATTAATATAAAGAATTATCGAAAATTTATTAGATATAAAAGTTTAATATAAAGAAAAACTTGCTATATATAAACTAGCTTAAAATTTTACGTTTTAATAGTGATTTTCGCTATATATTAATATTGATTATTAAATAATGTGATTTTTAAATTTAATATCATACTTTAATATGACAAAAAAGTAACGAAAAAAAGTAACAAATCGAACACGTTATGAAATAATGCATTATATTTGTAAAAAGTAACTCGTTGATATTATGAACTAATCCTGCATATATATTGTATTCAGCAGAAAAAGCAGCTTTGCAATTGTTGTACAATTCTTTAACATGATTGGTCTTGCCCTTAGTTTCTCACTAGATCTAAATATATAAACCAATCATATTAAAAATTTTACAACAATTAGACAGCTTTCTCTGTTTCTAGCGAATTGAAGGATGATAATGTATATTTACGTAAACTGTGTTTTGCGACTTTTAGTGGTTTATCACAGGAAGAATTCAAAACTTTTTAAGATAAATAAATTTTTTCATGCAAGGAAGTTCAAGAATACTATTATAATAATATTAATTAATCATATCACGCGATTCTAACTTGATTCCAACTCGATATACTTCAGTACTATTACTTACATCATTAATTTATAAAGAAATAACGGAGTTTTCTAAGTATAGGAACAGTAATGACGCATTACTGACTAAGGTGTAGCTTACTCGTGGCAATTAATTACAGTAATTTAACGCCAATTTCGCGGTACAGCTTGCCGTAAATGCGGGTTAAATTTACTTTGAGTCGGTACACCGAAGCTTTAATCTGCGTGGATATATTAGAACACCACAACAAGCGAGAATAATATAACAAAGGAAATACTCCAAGAAGATACGCCATTGCAAGGATACACAAATTGATGCAATATTACATAATTACTTATCGCGTAATCGTCTAATTTTGTGTCGACAATTATTGGTTGTTTTGCAAGTTTACATCATGTCTACGAAAATTAAACTTATTAGTGTGATTAACAGATATCAGTCGTCTTGATAGCCGAGTAAGTTAGGTTTGGGAAACATTAAAGCTCGTTAGCGCATATAGTATAGTTATCATTAGCTTAACGCAGGTCATCATAATAACGCTCTGCTGCCACGTTCACTGGGATACAGGATAGAGGATGTTAGCCATGGTCAGCAGCAATAATAATGAGAACCAGCAATTTGCGACGCGCGAGGCTTTTACCACTTCGCTGCTCTCTTGAGGGAGCATTAATTTATTATCCTGGAATTGTCATACTTGTGTACATAGATTGTACCGTTCGCATAGTAAAATGTTAACGTGTACATGGAGCAAATATAAATTAACCGCGCGAGTATTTAATATTACGCTTGTGAAACTCCGCGCCGTATCTCAATTCTGCTGCTTGTATTACAATTCCATCAAGTAACGTAATATTTTTTATGAAAAACTGTGCAACTTTCAATTAATAAACATATATATACATATATATATATATATATATGTATATTTTTTTAAACATTATTTCGAAACGTCGGTCGCGAAACCGAAAATAATAACGTTTTGTATTAATTCTTAATCTTAATTTTGCAAAAAATTATTGAATAAAAATAAAAATCTACTGCCCATATGTTATTCAAAAAATAAGATTTGCAAAAAGTTGCCGGTAATCAGTGTATTGACACGTGCATTGCTTCGAGTATCATTTCGCCTTACCAAAGATCTTTACGTTCTTGTCAAATCAGAAGTCGCAGCGGATGCCGCAGCGATAAAGTCTTCAATAAATTCATCGTGTAAAAGACTGAAATAACAGCAGAAGAGACCAGGATAGCAATAATTGTTCCCCAAAGTCCCATCAGTGAGATATATCGTGCAGACCTTGGTGAGACTGGAGACATCCTAATTTTACGAGTCTCTACGTCGCAACGCGCTAATAAGACCTTTGTATTGCAAGAGGAATTCT